ACAGAAGGCGCCCCAAAAGCCCTTTCCTCTGGGCTGGGGGCAGCAGGTGGGATGGTGGCCAGGAAGCCCCTTCCTCTGGACCAGGAGCAGCGGGAAGGATGGTGGCCAGGAAGCTCCTTCCTCTGGACCAGGAGCAGTGGGACAGCAGCTCAGAAGCCCCTACCTCTGAGCTGGGAGCAGTGGGACCCAGTACCATGGTCTGGTGGTCCAGTGTCCTCTGTGTCTTTGTAGTGTGGAACCAGGTGGTTGTACAGAGGAGCGGCGGGGTGTGTGTATGTGTGTGTCCAGTGGATTGCTGCCAGGACACGGGCTGATTCAGTGTGTTCTGTGAGACCGAGGTGTTTTTATTATAGAGACTAGTGCATACAAATTGGCAAATAGGCAAATCTCAAAACTCAAATGAGCAAAGGATGGTAAGAAAGAATTCACAAAAGAAATGTGTGCATGCATGTGTGTGCGCATGTGCCCTACAAAAAAGCAAGCCATGAGGGCTGGGAATTTAGCTCAGTGGTTCTGCTGCCCTCCTCAAAAGTGTAAGGTCCCGAGTTCAATCCCTGGTACAACCCCCCCCCCTCAAAAAAAAACAAGCCAAGAAAAGGGCCCAGTTTTGAGAATAATTTTAAAAATACAGATTAAAACTCTGAGGCTCAATTATGATCATGAAATTATTTTTGTAAGAATGTGGTGTGGTAAAATTTGCAGTTTCCTCATCTGTGTGATGGGGGTTATTAGTACTCATGGCCTACAGTTGTTTTGCTGGTTGAATAAAATAGCAGATGTAAAGTGCCCAGAATACTTCCTGGCATATGTAATACTTTGAATAATGTATTATGATTCCATTATTATGATTACTATTACATTCTCTCCAGCAGTGGTATAAATCATTAAATGTTGGAAAATAATTTGGCCTTAGGACTCACAGACATTTATTTAGTAATTTCACTTCTCGGAATATGGGATTCCCCTAACTCCCAAATCCAAAATATTGCGGAAAAAGTACGTGTGCCAAGATGTTTATTCCAGAATTATTCAGAACAGCGAAACATTGTTAGCTCCCTGGACATCCAGTGTGAGTGCATCAGTGGATAAATTACGCAGCTTTTTAAAATGAAGAGGTCATAGAAGGCAGAAAAGAGGAATTTAAGATTCACCAGTTACCGCCTGGGTCAAGGCTTGCTGGGCTCCACATCAAATTGGGGGAATTCTGTGGCTGTATGGTTAAGTGATCAAAGCAAGTTACAAAGTCATGACTGATTACAATTTCAGCCACGTGTGGTTTAACACAAAAGGTATGCTTTCTCCCTGCACAGTTGATTGGACTGGTGAAACACTGGAGAGCACAAGGCTGTGTTTACAGCTTCTCGAAAGATCTGCTCAGCCAATGTCTGCTGAGTAGACAATGCTGATGGCCCAAATGGCTTTAATACTGCCATGAATTTTCAGTAATGGACAGTGCTTTGTAGAGTTAATTGCTGTGGCAGAGGCCTAGACAATTTTCTGTGACCTGTAGTTATCATTATATATCCAAATAAAATCACCGAGGAGCTCTTGCTTTAAAAATATAGTAGGTTAGTTGAGGTTGATAACCAGACAGCAGGAGTAGGATGTGGAGAGCCCTGTGAACTCTTGGGACCTGAACATTGCTGATAAATCTAATGATCCTTGGAGCATTTGGAAATAAGTGTATTATTTCACAAGTGCTTAAGGCTCACTTTTGAGTGCTTAGGGTGTAGCTCAGTAGTAGAGTGCTTGCCTGGCATGCTCAAGGCCCTGGGGGTTCTATCCCCAGCACTGCAACAAATAAAATAATTAAGTAAAGATTGCCTCCCCCCCCTCCTTTAATTTGCAGTGTAGGGATATTTCCATATTCCAAAAGTTGACAAGGGAGGAAAAGATGTTTGACGCCTGTCTTTCAGAGCTACACAGGGCCGTAGGTGTCCCAGGGTAGGGGAGTTAGGGGCAGGGAGCTGGCTGGTGCAGCCCTCACTGCCCCTCAACTGACCACACAGAGTGAGGGGTGGTGTGTGTGCTTTGGCTGAGTTTTGGGAACAACGTGAGTATAAGGGACTTTAATGTTTTGAATTCAAATAAATATATTCCCTGCCTGGCTTAGTCACTCTTCTTGTCTGGAGACACAATACCCACCACCCTCAGTTTAAAGGAGGGGAGGTTGACTTTGGGTCACAGTTTGTAGAATCCAGTGTCAGCGGCTCCAAGGCAGGGCGGCATGGTAGAAGGGATGGGGGCTGGCTGCTCACTTCGTGGCAGACAGGAAGCAGAGCAAGAGGGAAGAGCTGCCCTTCCAGGCCACGCCTCCACACCCACCCCTGCTCCTAACAGCAGGTCAGCTGTCAGCCCCATTATCCAATCACTTTGCAAAAGCCCCACTTACTGGGGCATGAGGCTCTTGGGGTGTAGATACAAACTATAACATTGCCTTATAAGAAAAAAGCATATTATTATATATTCAGCTCCTTGTGAATCTCAAAGCCACAGGTGCAAAGGAGCCACATTTCTCATTTCTGCGTCTTTGTGGCTTCAAGCCTTTCACACCTTTCTTCCAGTCAGTAAGCCCACCCTAGCTGTAGCCCAGCAGACACAAGCAGCATATGAGCCTTCATCCCCAGGCCTCTGTTTAGGGCAGGAGAGTAGGAGTAACACTGTACATAAAGGTTGGGAAAGCTGCGTACGGCCCATTTGGTTAGGAAATGCCATATCCGGAGCAGCCTCGGCACTGTGTTTGAACAGTGCTCCTTATGCTTGTGCTGGAAGGAGCCATGGTTGGAGCTGATGGTGTCCTCCTCAACAACTTCCTGCCCTGCAAACGCTGACCAGCTCATGGCACTGTGTTCCTTCCAGGCTCCCAGATCCAGCACCTGACACAGGTGGGAATCGCCAGCAGAATCGGGGCACAGCCAGTGGAAATCCCAGGCATGAGAGGCAGCCAGTATGGCGGCCCAGGTTGGCCTGCTTATGGGGAGGATGGCGCTGGACGGAGAGAGGCCGTGAGTATCTGGGGCTTGGGGCCTGGTCCCAGCTCACCTCTAAGCACGTCATTGCTTTGAGGATCTGCTTTTAAAACTTATTTTTTAACAAAATCTTTAATCTCCCTTGCTATTTTTGCCTTACCTGTGTTTTTGCTTGCAGTTTTTGTGGATAAACTTTCTCCCCCTTTGGGAAAGGCAATGATTTTTCTTGAGGCCAGTCTCAGGTCTTTAAGTAGTAAATTTGAACCTGAAGGGGAATCACATCTGGACTTCATCTTCAGTGTGATGGCTTTATAAACATTCTTACCTTTTGCACTTCATGGGTGTATTGATATTCTTTCCACTGTGACTGCCGTATATGGATGGTTTTGCAACATGCACTTGGTGTGGGCATTGTAAGACACAAGTCTTCATTTTGAGCTCTCCAGTCATTCATTGGGTCACAGAATTTCTACAAGTGCTCTCCTCTATTTTTCTTGAGAGTTTTATACCCTTGGAGGATACATTAACAAAGGAGAACACAAGCCAAACTGTTGCTTTTAGTTTTATCTTTATCATTATACCCTTGCTTTCTTTGTACTTCTACCTTCTCAGCAGTGACACTGAATTCCTCTCATGACCAAAGGCTCATGACTCAGTGGAAGGAAGTAACTTTAGAATATGCTTTTCCCCTGAAAGATATTTGTTAGACATATGATCTAAATATTTGCTTAAAGTTTGTCGACACTTTTCTTTTTCTGCCTTCGTTGTACCCAATTTAGTTTCATGAAGTATTTTAGGTTTTCCTATCAAATCCAAAAATGTTCACTTTGAAGTGTTTCTTTCCTGGAATTTGGAGAAGTAGAATATAGAAATAAATAATCCCGGGCTTTGGAGGCCATCTTTTCATTAATAACTTGCTGTTAGTGGTATTTGTTCGTTTAGTACACAGATCTAGTTCATTGACCACACACTGATGTAAAGCAATGACCTGAGATTTTTTTCCCCAATGAAAAAAATATGAAAAACAAAATGACTGAAAAATGTAACATTCATATCAAACTAATAGCAAGTTCTATTTTGCAAATATCAGAGAACTGTTGTCTGCTATAGATGACTTGTTAAAGAGAAGGCTCTAGAAAGCGCATGGTAGACACACACACACACACACACACACACACACACACACACACAGAGGCCGCACTAGATGACCGAGATGGAAAGTGGTTCTGTGGTCGCAGTGTGATTCACAGGCACATGTTCTGGGGCCCAGGGCAGAGGAAGGGGCTCTGGGTGGCCCCTCTGCCACATCTGCTGGTCTCCCTGACCTCTGAGCTCTCTGGGGTGCTTCTGCTCCCTTCTACTCTGGCTCCCCAGGCTTTCTTTACTTGTTCTCCCATGGGCCAGCAGCCCCAGGCTAGCTCCTGTACGCACCTGTGTACTCTCCAGCCAGGGGCAGAGGGACCAGGCGGCCGGGTCCTGGTGGAGGGCTGAGGTGGTGGGTGGGAGGTAGTAGAGGAACTTCAGGTGCTGGTTTGAACTTGATCTTCCCTCTTGTCCTCACATGGTAAGTGCACTAACATTTGCCGTGTTTTGCAGCCCAACATGCTAGGACATCAAGAGTATTCTTCTTCACCGCTATTTCAGGTGCCAAGGACTTCAGGCAGGGAGCCCTCGGCTCCTCCTGGGAACCTGCCCCACCGGGGGCTGCAGGGCCCTGGGCTGGGCTACCCCACCAGCTCCACGGAAGACCTCCAGCCGGGACATTCCTCAGCTTCCCTCATCAAGGCAATCCGAGAGGAGCTGCTCCGGCTCTCCCAGAAACAAAACGCCATGCAGAACTTCCACAGCTGATGGGCCCTGCCGCACAGGTTTGCCGATAGCCGCTTCCTGTGGAAGCAAGACCAAAAGGAAATCGATTGAGTGGATGTTTGTAAGAAGAACAACATCTCCTGGGCATGCTGCCCGAGTAAGGGAACAAGTTGCAATTTTAGATGTTGCCATAACTCACACGACAACCCACGATAGTTTTACTAGGTTGGCCATTTGGTAACTACTCGGGTTCGATGGAAATGTATGTATTTTTGGCCAAAAGCCAGCAGCACTTCACAAAAATGAAACACAAACCTAAGATAACAAAATTACTAAGTTAGTCTCCTTTTAAAAGGCAAAAGATTGAAATGTGTAGATGGTACAGGGCAGAAAGGAACCAAGCTTTTCTGTGGGATTCAGACTGACATGTACGATGCACCTGCTGCTTTGTTCTCCAAGAAGAGAGATTTGAAGACATTTCATTAACAGCTTGATTTCCCTGTTTTCCTCCGTAGGAACTTATTTTAATAGCGATATTAGCAACAAGAATACTAAGACTGTTGGGGAATTTTAAAGAAAGCTACTAGTGAGAAACCAAATGATAGATTGTAGAGCCTGATGACTCCAAACGAAGCCATCACCTGCGTTCTTCCTCCTCCTTTTCTGGTGCTAAAGCTCCAAAAACCCCTTCACCTTTCTGTCTGTGAAAAGCAATGTTGGCTTTTACAATGGAAGAACATGTTGGAGGTTTCATTTTGTTCTAAGAAAAAAAAAAGAAAAACAAATTCCAAATTTGGGGGATGTGGGGGAGCTATTTATTTGGTTAATCAAAATACATATCAAAGTTTAAATGTACATTCTTTACTTGTATTTCCTGTTTAATAATTGGGCACGTACAAAAGCAGGTGGATCCCACTTCCGCACATAGGATTAAGGTCAGTCCTGCAGAATGAGGCTGTCAGGGTCCTCACTCCAGATCCTTGCACTTTGCTGATGATTTGCTCACATATCACACCTGAATGAGAAATCTTATGTAAGCAGACATCATTTCTGACAAATCCACCCAGTTGTTACAAATCCATCCCTACTGATCACATTCCCTGAGTGCAAGACCTGGAATTGGAACTGAGTCCAGTTCAGCCTCTTGTCACAAATCAAGAAGTGTAAAGAAGAGTTCTGAGACCATGAGGAAAAGGAGAGTTGCCCCTTATTCTGATTTTATTGTGTTATTAATTTGTTGAGTGACTGTTACAACTGTGTTATGCACTTTGGGCCAGGGAGAGGGGGGTCATGTCACTTAAAATGTACCCCCAGAGTCAGCATTTCCCTCCTTCCCACATGATAGTCAGAAAGACAGCAGTGATCTATAGTCTGGTGCCTGAGTGAAACTCAAAGGATGTACATGCATACAGAAGAGATTCCTGCTAGGGACCTCTTTCTAGCAGATGAACTAATACTTTTGATTAAACAACAGATAATGGGGTAAATTTGGGATTCTGCCTAACTAAAATCTGCATATCTGCAATAAGTTTTAAAAGCCTGGAGGCATCTTTAACAGGTCTCCAGAGTGTAGTTGTTGGTTCCAGGATCACGCTGGTTAGGTCTGTGGTGTAGATGTAGAATCTCAGGACCAGAATCTCAAAGTCTGTTCTGGGAAGTTGAAGTGTGGCCAGCAGCTCCCATCAGGCTGTGTCCAGAGGTTCCAGCTTGCATGAGAGAAAAGGTCCCCTTCGAGGCTTGACTTCTTAGCTCTTGTTCTTGGTTTAATACTTTACTGTTCCCAAAGTGGAGGACCCTCTTTCTATGTCACTCAAAAAAATCAGGTTTCCTGAATGTGGTACTAAGATTTTCACGTACCCAAGCAGAGTTTTATTATGGACCCCTTACAATGAATTCAAATCTTGTCTCAGCAGATGGAATAAATGGCCCTTTCTCTTCTGGTTCTGCTCCGTGTCATAAGTGTTTTGCACGCAGAGTGTCCTAAAAGTGATTACCTTCTTTGTCGCAGAAACGGGTCTGTGCTGCAAAGGATGTAACCGTGACTGCAGTTTTGATGCCTGTCCAACCACCACAAAGGGAGTCTACCTGTATTTTTATTCTCAGAGCCAATACACCTTTAAACTGATGTCAAGACCAAAGATGACACATAACAAACTGCTGCTGGTGAGTGATACAGTGTGAGCAGGCCCCTGTGGGATCACCAGCACTCTGTTGTTAAAAAAAAAAGCACACTTGGTTTGTACTTGTTTCCTCTAGACATCTGCCACAGCAGGTTGACCAGTCACTAGACTCAGAACGAGCTAGCTGTGTGGGGCACACCATGGTCACTGGGTCTCCAGTCACTTAGTGTGCTTTGCTTAAAAGAGAGGTCCTACTATTGATCATGAGTAGCTTTGGAGTTCCACTGATTAGAGCACTCTAAAAAAGTTAAATTTTAGGTTTATTTTTTCCTGCTTTAGAAGTCCTAGTGGTAAAACAAATTATAAATTTGAGTCAGTGTTTTTGAGAAGATATTTTGGAGAAGTGATTTTTTGCAGTCTACTTTGTCACTAATCCACTGTGTTAAGCTCCTTCTCTGAACCTCATCCTTCCTTCACCTTCAAGTACAGACCTCCCCCGCCTGCCTCCTGGGATCTCTGGTTGTGAGAATCAGGTGTGATCCCGTGTGCAAACATCCCTGGAGGAGGGAGCATAAAGCACTGTGAAAATGTAGCATGTTTTCAGTGTGAATGATCTGGGATGGCCTATGTGATATGCTGTGATCTACCGGAGAATGGGTTTACACCAGAGCAACTGGAAATGGAAAGCTTGGTGTGACTCATCTTCCTCATTCCTGTTTTATTTTAAACTTTTTCTCCCATGCCTTTCAAAATCATCTCAAACATCTTTCTGCTCCTCATTTTCTGCTATGTCTGACACCAAACAGGTCAGCAGACTCAAGTCTTGACTTCTGAAATCTTAGGCTTTAACTCAGATATTACAGATGGGTATAAAAGATGAAAGATATTGATTTAAAAAACACATACAATTTAAACATCCATAACATTCATTCAACGCACATAAGTGCATTGGGCACGCAGAAGAAGTCATGGAAGCTGCATGTCTGGAAGTGCTGAGATCTGGGAGAAGTGAACTGTAGAAGTCACTTGGATGAAGACGGGAGTTGCCCAGACCTGGTGAAATGGCTTGGGAAAGTGTGGGCCTGGGAAGGAGTGGGCCTGAGGGAGGATGTAGAGATTGGCGTGTAGTGTCATGAAAATGACTTTGATTCTGATCTGCTGTAATATGGGGACAGCGTAGGGAGCTTCCGAAGAGGAAGTAGTGCAAGGAGGCACATCTGCAGTAATTGAACAAATGAGTGACCAGGCTGGTGAAGGTCTACAAGGAGGAGCTCCAGCACGGGGAAGGAAAGGAGAGCACCAAGAAACTGCTGCAGGTCCAATGTGAAGAATGAAAATAGTGATAAGAGTGACTCTGAGGGTTATTGCTTAGAGCAGACTTGATAGCCAGCCATTCAGCAATATTATGTCCTTTGTGGAGCATACCAGGTTATAAATAAATACATTTGGCTTTTTTTTTTTTTACAGCTACCTACAAGTTTTCTTCTCAATTTTATTTAATTTCAGAATGTGTGCTGATCTTGGTGGCACCTGACTTTTAAGCAGCGTGTTTTTGCCAACCAGATTTTTCAGGGTAGGAAGCCTGTGATACAAACCACAGGTGAAGGTGTGCTTGGAAGGCTTTGGGCTGAAACAAATCATTCTCCACTGCATGAGTCTCCCATTTCCTAAGGGCAAGGCCAGTGTTTACTGCATATGTGTGACGCCTTCACGCATGCTCCATTAAGCAAGCAGTCCCCCGATGTGGATGCGCTTGGTCGTGCTTCCCAATTTAATCATTAACGAAGCCTCTCCTGCCCTTTCATCCTGGGTTCTTACTTGGGAATGCATGACATGTGGAAGGAAGGCTGGTTGAGATTCTGGGCTTGGGGCCAGGGGCTCTCCCAGTCTTACGTCTCACATTAGCTTTAGCTCTAGTGAGGTTTTCACCAGGTCATTTCTACCTCCAGAGCAAGGCTCCAAAGTTCATCACCAGAGTCTGCTCATCCACATTTGGCCCAGGCAGGAGCACGAGGAAGGCCATCTCTGAACCTGCAGATGGGCCTCGTGAGCACAAACACATTTCTTGGGCATAGTCCATGGAACTTTGCTTTTACATTGAATCCAACCTGCTACAGAGATTCTTCTTGTAACAGTAGAGGGGCCTCTATGGGCCAGTGCTGTAACACTCATCAAATGTTTAGGCTTACACATGTCACCCAATAAACAAGGAGTATGCACATTTCTGGTTTCTTTTGACATTTTGGAAGTGATTGTTGATATTTAAACTAGGACACCTTTGTCCTCTATTAATAAGACTTGAAAGCTGAAACGTCACGGTACAGTGCTAATTCCGTGCTTGTGTTTGTAACAGTACACTTGACAATTTATCCTATGAACACACAGCATTAAAGTAGAGAAAGAATATTAAATGCCTTTGGGTACACGGAGCAGTTAGGAACCAGTGGGGAAAGTGAGAGAAGCAATGAATGTCTTTGTCTGATAAATGCTAGTCCAGACCTGTGTCTCACAGGTTAGGTAATGATCCAGGCTCCTTGCTTTGCCTTCTTTCCCCAGGGTTTTTCTGTTCTGGAACCTCTTAACATTTAAAGAGAGAGTGAATAGGTTGAAGGGACTGAGCTGAAAATTGGAATAATTTGAATCTCACTGTCCCTGATTATGTAGAACCTTCTTCAGGAACTACCTGGAGCAGTCTTTTCTCGTGCCCATCAGATTTCAAGTATTCATAACTTGTCTCCCCAGGGCCAAATTTAAGCCAGACACCCTGTTCTTTTCCCCCTGAAGATGTGGGAAAAGAAGAGGGAGGTGCAGGAGGAACTAAGGTGTGGTCCCTAACTCAGTTGCTCTAAGCACCAGGGACTCATTTCAAAGTGGAGTAGAAATGCTCCTGACATTACCCTCTCCTAGGGCCTCGCTGGGAGCATTAACAGGAGAGGTTGCTCCACAGAGCTGCTCTGGCTGGGGTGCTGACTTATCTCCCCCTCTTTGAAGGTTGTGTTCTGATTCTTCCTGCACCCTCCTTTTTAGATGATGACTATTAATGTACGAAATTGTGCAGAGCAAATTGGAGCCGTCTGTGGCATCAATCCTGCAACCTGAACTTGACAATCATAGTTTGCTGGTCTCAAACGGGCACTTAAATCTCAGTATGGATATATGATTTAGTAATTGAACCCTCCCTTCTCTTTGTCGGTTATGTTTCTACCCTCCAATTAGCTGCACTGTTTTCTAATGTGCTGTAGTTTTGGAAATAATTTATGCAAGTGTTTGATTTCCATGTTTACAATTTTTACAGCTTTCTTAGCATTTTAAATGGAAATGTCAATAAATGCTATGAATTGGTGTCAACGTGATATTTTCTGTTTATTTCCTTTGCAACATGATAGTTTTCTCATTTGTAAAACTTGAATAGTTGGATCAGGTGACCTTGTGGTTTGCTCATGCTGTGTCCCTGGAGAGAACACCTAGTACTTTTGTTTGCCCAGGAATTAAGTTGAAAGTATCCCATTCAGTGTGGGATTTGCAGAAATGTTTTCACTCACCTTACCTCTGCCACACCCTCTACTGTCTCTTCTGCTTTACTGCTACTCACCAGTCAAACTGATGGACTCACTAAGAGCAGATTGATTTTGGAATTAAAAGATTAGGACTCTACAATTTAGACAAATGAGCAGATCAAAGTCCATACCCTCTTGAAAGGTAATAGGGTAAGCCTGGAGTTGTTTATGAAACCCAAGCAAAGGAGAAGCCTGGGCACCATAGAAAAGCACAAGGAACTCAGATCACAGAGGACATAATGAGTAAACGAAATGTGGAGTCAAGGGACAAGGACAACAGAAAAGGACTCTTAAGAGAAGCATTTGGGAGAGCCAAAAAGTGTAATGTAGTTAACAGCTTCGTAGAAGGGTACCTTACTTTGGTTATCAAGACTTTAGTAGGGGAAACTGTGGCAAAGATATATGTTAACCTTCTGCACTGTTTTTATAACTTTTCTCTAAATTTAAATTTCTTAAAAACAAAAAGAAACTAATCAGGTACAGGCTAAAGCCCACAGGGTTCATTATAGTTTTGTCCTGTGTCTCCACAGCCTTAGATTGGCAGAGCTTCTCAGGGTGCACGGCTCCTGCTGATGTTGGAGCCACAGTTAGTGATTCCAGGTCCAGCAGAAGGGTGTAGCTCAGTGACCGAGCCCATGCTGAGCCTGTGTGAGGCCCTGGCTTCAGTTCCCAGCACCAGGGAAAGAAAAAGCTCACGAGATCAACCGAAAGGACCATTCAAAACTAAAAATAGAAAAACCAGACCATATGAAAGGACTGTTTCAAATGTTTAAAAGCATTTTTTAAAAATCCCTAACAAGAACAGAACATTATGGAAGTTTAAGCAAACTTGATAAATCTTCAAAAGAAAAATGAATTAAAAATATACATATATACATAGTAGTCATATATTCCAATATTTTAGGTGTAGCTAAAGAAGTAATTATGACAGTTTCAGTCTGTCTTGCGCAGGAGGTGTATGTTGTTCAGTGGTAGAGCACTTGTTTAGCATGCTCAGGGCTCTGGGTTCCATCCCCAGCACCACACGTGCACACAAATTATATATTATGTTTTATGTTTTATTATATGTATTATATACAT